ATTTGAAATGAAGCATAAATTTCAGGACTGCCACTAGTAGAAAATGAGAGTGGAGTGAAGACAAGAGGACCAGACCAGACCAGAGAGGTTTATATGCCATTCCCATAAACGGGGGAACGAGAGGTGTTGTCCTCTGGGTGAGGGGAGCCATTTAAGGTTTTTTGTTTGTTTGCTTTAAATACTTTTTTGTTTTCTTGAGAGGTTTTCGCTATAGGGCGCGTGCGCTTGCCAGACAGAGATAGACAGAGAGATAGAAAGAGAGAAATCACCCCCCAGGGGGGTGGCCACACCACAATCCCTTCTCCTCCATTCTCCTCCCGGGATCTTGGGCACACACGCACACACACCTGGCATGAGTTTAAGCTGCCGGGTCCGGGACTCAAACCGCGGTCAACTACATGGGAGTCCAGCGACATAGCCATTACGCTAACTGCTGGTTCCTGTTTGCTTTAATTTGCAATAGCACATGTGTGCTTGCTGGAGAGAGAGAGAGAGCACAAGAAAGGAGCATCTCTGAGAGAGAGAGAGAAAGAAAACTAGAAAGCAGTACCTCCCAGAGGGGATGGCTGCACTGAAACTCCTCCATTCTCCTTTCAGGATTTTGGGAACATGCACTTGGTGTGTGTTTCACACTGCTGGGTCCAGGACTTGAATTGCACATTGATCTAGCCACCCTAAACACCATGTTATTGACTGGGCATATTTAAGGTTTTAAGCAAAGGGGAGTGCTATTGCAAACTTCATTACCTTTTTTTTTTTTTTTTTTTTTGAAGAGGTTTTCCCATTAGGGATTTTTTTTTTTTTTTGAAGCGGTTTTCACTATAGGGCACATGTGCTTGCCAGACAGATAGAGAGATAGAAAGCAAGAAATCACCCCTCCAGGGGGGATGGCCATACCAGAATCCTTTCTCCTCCATTCTCCTCCCAGGAACTTGGGCACACACGCACACATGCCTGGTGTGAGTTTAAGCCACCGATCCTGGGAAACGAATCACAGTTGACTACATGGGAGTTCAGCAACATAGCCATTATGCTAACTGCTGGTCCCATTACTTTTTTTTTTTTTTTTTTAATAGGTTTCTCTGGCAGCAGAATGAATTCAAGGTAAGCGAAAGTGTGGTGGTCAGTTTAGATAAGATGCCATTGCAAAATTCTCAACCATGGTGAGAATGATTATAAAGGCCAGAACAAAAACAATGGAAAGTGTCTGTCCAAGTGCGGTAAACCTGACCACGTTAATCATTCATTCAAATAAACCCTTTTGAGCCAGGCTTTGTGTGCAGTATTTGGGAAATATTGAATATGCCCTTTCTTTAATGTCACAAAGGACTCTTAATGCTTAGGAGCTCTAATGCAAGTTAATCTTTTCTCATGCTCCCCCCCATTAAGCACGCAGGTAGACAGATCAGAATAGTAATCCTGGCTTACACAGCTAAGAAATTATGGTTAGTGTTGTGATTTAAAATATACTGTGTCTATGTCTAATATATTTCATCACCAGAGCCTTTAATAATATTGAGTTATTGTATTTAGTTAGCATAAATAATAATGATCCCGAGTACATTTTGTGATGTTGCATCTACACAGTGGCCTGCCTGAATCCCACTTACATTCTTTCCTCCTATCTTGGCAGCTGAACTTCCTTTTCTTGAACTCTAAATTTGATTTCACCTTGGCCTGGAAGCAGAGCCCAGATTTGGCAGGGGAAGTGTTCAGGAACCTTCTCCAAGAAGCTGCTAGGTTCAGTTATCAATGAGAGTTGGCTCTGGTTCCACCTTGAACTGGTTTTTCAAAATCCCTGCTCTTTGCCTCAGCTCTCTGCCAGTGGATAGTTTGCCCCTGAAACAGAGGCTTACAGAGACCACCCTCCTAGTGCCTGGTGTCTCCCTGCTCTAGTGTTGACTCTGTGCTGACCTGCACATATGCTGTGTGCTGGTGAACCTCTGAGGCTCTTGGGATCGGTTAGGAGCTTTCCAATGGCGCCCATCCTACCTGCTTTCTCCCTCCTCTACCAACCCCCCCTCCTCCATCACACACATCTGGTTGGAATTTACTTTAGCAGTTCCGGTTCCTGTGTATTTGTTGCCTTGTTCACAAATGTCTAGTTTTACTCTCAACTTTTTTAGTCGTCTCTCCCTGTCCTGTTCTAGTGTGACTACAGAGATAATGCAGACTCATAGATTTTTTTTTTTTAGAAACAGTTCTCTATTCTATTTTTATTATAGTCATAATACTCTTTCCTGGAATCAGAAGGATTAAGAGAAAATTATTTTTAAAAGAATCTTTTCTGTAATGATTACATATATGTCTTAGAGAATGTATAAGAGTAGTGATTAAGGGAAATTCATTACATGAATGTTCATGAAGATTTATCAGTTTGAAATACAGTATGATAAAATTTAAAAGTAAAATTTTATTGTAAAAGATTCTTCCATCAGAAAATATCATTTGCATTACTTGCTTTGTTACTCTCAGGAAAGTACTTGGAGTTAGAATTTTATTTCTACAAATCCCACTATGATGCATTTAATTCTTTGCAGAAAACCCATACCGTTGTTGGCTTTGAGCTTAAATGCAAAATAAGGGTGTTTTGTACACTCTTAGAGATCTCTCATAATATAGCCCTGGCTACTGTGACTTGTGTAGTAATTTATTAAGCCCTTTTGGTTGTTCTTACATCTTAGAGATGCTATCTGAGGATGCAATGTGAATACATTTAGCTCCTCTTCTTTTTCAGAGTAGAGATTTCTAGAAGCATTGCATTCTTATCAGTAGAGGTCAAAGAGTAGTAGGGGTAGAAAGCAGTTAAGTTTTCCCCTTTTTTAATGTTAGTTATAACCTTCATATTTTAATGAGAACCTAGAAGTTACAGAAGACATGTATATGTACATCTAATTTGCATATAAATCTTCTCTCATGCATAGATGATGACCTCCTTAAGGACAGGGGCCATGTTGTATTCTCTTTAACATAGGCTCTGGCTCTTGTTAGTACCTTGTGTACAATGCACATTCCATGCTTGTTACAGTATTTAGGTAGGCTTCAGGAATTTGGAGCTGGTAGCTGCCATTGTGTTTACCTACTCACCTTGCAGTTCATACCATTTCCCTCTGGTGACTGAGCACTGAAATATTCACCCTCCCTCTGACCATATGTTCAACCAGGGAAGGATTCACCGTAACAGCTTAACTCATGATTAACCTTCCCTTTGACTAGTGGCCACACTACAGTCTCTTTTTCATTCTCCTCTTGGGATTTTGGGCACATACACTTGTGTTTTTCAAGCTGCTGAGTCCAGGATTCAAACCACACAGTCAGCCTTGTGGGATCCAACCACCTTAATCACCATGCCACTGGCTAGCTCCTTTCTTGATTTGTATCCCCAGGACTTTGTAGTATATCCAGTATGTAGGGGATGTCCTTACATGTAGGTAATAAACGTTTGAGTGGTATTGCCTATTTATTGGCCACTTGAGACAGAATTTAGGTAAGGATTTAAATAAAAACAAACATCAAAGCATCTTTAAAGCAATAAAGATTCTCTACTTTGCAAAAATAAAGGAATGTGGTAATTTGTGATCTCTGTAATCATCCTTTCCTCTGCCCCCTACTATCCTTCCCGTAACTAAATCTGTTAATTCAGACTTTAAAATAACTCTCAGTATTGTCTGTGTCTCTATATCTCTATAGCCATTCCACTATTGTAACCATTTTACTGCCTATCTATCTTATAAGGTAGTGTTGTATACCTTAAATATATATGGAAAAAAATATTTAAAAAAGGAGTCCAAGGTACTGTCTTCTTTCTTCTAAGCTCCTCTCACCACTTTATTCTCCTCTAATTTATTTTCTATGTGAAGCAACCAAAGGCACTTTTTAAAGGTGGACATTTGGAAACATGTTTAAGTCACCTGCCAGGTTTAGAACACCTGTCGTGTGTTTCTCTTGTCCTTGGGATGTAAACCGGACTCCTTACTCTCATGTTTACAACACTTAACATTCCCATGACTGTTTGCCTTTCCTCCCTCACCATTCCCTCCCCTCTCACTTTGCCAAGTTTGTATTCATTTCTTCCTGTCATAGGGACTTGACACTGCTCCTTCCTCTCCCTGAAATGTTCTCCTTCATTCTTTGCTTAGGTAATTGTGATGAATCTTTCAAGTCCCAGACTTCATGTCATGTTCATAGAGAGGCATGTCCTTAGTGCTCTTATCTAAGTTTGGCCTCCTTTCCTGTGTTCTTTCTCTCAATCATCTGTACTTCTCTTTTTGGTCTCCTATCAACATTTACTGTTACCTGTGTATGTATTTAAAATCTGCCCTCACTAGTTAAGCTCCACAAGAGGAGAATCATGTCTGTTTTCTTCTCTAATATATTTTTCATATTTAGTATTTGCCTAGCACATAGGAGGTTCTCAGCAGCCGTTTCAGGTAATAAAGTTTATGTTGACAGTGGGACAGTATCAGGGTAATAGTACAAGTTTATGTTTGGTTTTCCTTGACTTGAATCTTGAATCCTGGAATGAGTACTTACTGTTGGAAGGGAGCAGGGAGGATTTGCTTCTCCTCCTCACAGAATAGCATATTGGGGGTCATAGAATCATACATAAGAACTGGAGTCTCACCAGGCACGCACACTGTCACCTGAATGATTTGCACCTTTGCCTTTCAGATAGAAAAACAAATAATGTAAGGTGGTTAGGTCTCTTTTTAGTCTATCCAAAACTAGTGAAGAACCTATAAGTGTTTAAAAAAAAAATCCTCTTATCTAGTCCTTTATTACTTTAGAGTTCGTTCAAATTGTTAAGTATTTTGACTTAACTGCTTAGCAGTGTTTTTGGCCAATAGAATTTCAGTATGCAGTGCACTAATATAAACCCTTGGATTGGCTTATCTATCTCTGATGTCATAATTTCCCTTTAAGAAGTCACAGTTTCCTTAAATCACATGTACTAATACCACCTCTTGTTATTATGTTTCATTATAAGAAAGATAATCTACCCAAAATAAAAATGCTGGAAAGAGCAAGATATCTTTGATCTATGCAGATATTTTCCATTGAGGCACTTTAGTAATCTACTGGCAACAACCATAGCCAGATTTTTTTTTTTTTTTACTTTCTTTTACAACTGATGTTGTTTTTTTCTCCTATTTGTCAGTTAATAGGCAAATGGAGGAATGAACCTACTTAAAATTGCTTCTTCAGCGCGTAGTTCTGTTTCATCTCGACTGTTGTGGCTTAGTATCTTTCTGCTACTTTGCCTTCCTGACTCAAAAGGAAAAGCCATTTGGACAGCTCACTTGAACATAACATTTCAGGTGGGAAATCAGATCGTATCAGAATTAGGAGAGAGTGGAGTATTTGGGAATCATTCTCCTCTGGAAAGGGTGTCTGGTGTGGTGGTCCTTCCTGAAGGATGGAATCAGAACGCTTGTAATCCTTTGACCAATTTCAGCAGACCTGAGCAGGCAGACTCTTGGCTGGCCCTAATTGAACGGGGAGGCTGTACTTTTACCCATAAAATCAATGTGGCAGCAGAGAAGGGAGCAAATGGGGTCATCATCTATAACTACCCAGGGACAGGCAACAAAGTATTTCCCATGTCTCACCAGGGGACAGAAAACATAGTCGCAGTGATGATAGGCAACCTGAAAGGCATGGAACTTCTTCACCTGATCCAGAAAGGAGCCTATGTGACGATCATCATCGAAGTGGGCAGAATGCACATGCCGTGGCTGAGCCATTATGTTACGTCGCTGTTTACCTTCTTGGCTGCCACAATCACCTACCTTTTTTTGTATTGTGCCTGGAGACCCAGAGTACCCAGTTCTTCTACCAGGAGGAGAAGGCAGATCAAGGCAGATGTGAAGAAAGCGATCAGTCAGCTTCAACTGCGAGTGCTCAAAGTCGGGGATAAGGAACTAGATCCAAATGAAGACAATTGTGTTGTTTGCTTTGACATATACAAACCCCAAGACGTAATACGTATTTTAACTTGCAAGCATTTTTTCCATAAGGCATGCATTGACCCCTGGCTTTTAGCCCATAGGACATGCCCCATGTGCAAGTGTGACGTTCTGAAAGCTTAAGAAGCCCAGCACATCTTCCCAAGACGAAACCAGATCTTTCCAAAGATTAAGATTAGATGAATTCGCTTGCACTTTACGTAGAAAGAAAACTTCAACTTCAGCTTCTCTATCAAGTATGAAAGAGGGTGAAATTAGTGTGTTTAAAAAATAAACTGCATGTCATGCCCAGCTATTTGAACTTGTTGTCTTTCATATTAGTTTTAGTTGTTCTACAGCTTTGCCTTAACCCAAATATTAGTATATGTTAAAAACAATATTAATCTTTTAAAAATAATTATTTACTTAATTTTATTTATTTATTATTATTATTCAATTTGACCAGAGAGCAAGAGAGAGAGAGCAAGCCACCAGATCTGGGGCTCAGACCATGGTCAATCATGTGGGAGTCCAGCATGCCATCCACCAAGCCACCTGTTAGGTTCCAATATTAGTCTTTATCTTCAAATTGACTTTGGTTATGACACCAGTTGCGCAAGAGAATGTCATGCTATTTTAAAATGTACTTTTTCAATACTACATTTGTACTTTGTTTCCATATTTATAATTTTTGATATCTAATAATTTGTATCTTGATAAACTTCACTATAGAATGAGATCTTAATCTAATTCTTCATGGCTAATTAATTTTATTAATATCTAGGAAATCTCATTTTCAAAGCTACTGATGACTGTGTGACTAATGTGTTCTAGATAATTATTTTAGATGATATACTTTTGGTTATGTAACAAATATTTTATCATTTTAGGCCTCATTTAGGGAAGCATTGCACATGTTGACCTCTTTTTACCTGAGCTCTTTAAATCATAGCATGGTGAATCAATTATAGAACAGGATGTACCCACAATACTTCTCTTCTCCAGATGGTTGTGTTTCTTGATTTGGTGCATCTTGATAACAGACAACAGAGCTGAAATTTGGTTTGATTGCCTTTCCATATTGTATCTTTTTGCATAATTTTGCTTCTTCCTCTTTTCTAGTACATGAATAAACCTCTGTAACAATGAAAGGCAGAGGGACATGGGAGTTGTTGTATTCATGAAAAATCTCCCTTCCTGAATAATTTGCTAATAAACCTCTGATGTCCAATTCAGATGGTGCTTTATGAGTCTATAAATATGTACCACACTTTTTAAAACGTGGTTGTGTAAAAACATAACATTAGTGGGGGCTAGGTCTGTAGTGCAGTGGTTAACTGCTGTGCACAGAAAGCTGGATCCCAAAACAAGAAGATCCTGGCTTTTGACAGAAAGTAGATGTATATGGAAGATTTACTACTTAGTGAAACAAACTAGGCTATGAAGGAGAGACATTGTATGTCTCCACTTAATATATACCAAGTGTCTACACTCTATGGCTGAAACTGAATGACTAAAGGATATAGAAACATAGTAAATGGTTATAAATACCAGATACAATGTATGAAGAGGGTGGGTGAAGGAGTGGAGTATGAGGAAGGACATTATGGGACCAAGAAATGGGTTATTATCTATTGAAGATAATTTGATAGTATTGTTAACTGGACAGGTGATAAAGATACACATGTTGGAATATTCACTTTGCAATCTAAGTAACATGTGATTGAATGTATGAAAGAAATTGAAATTAAAACTTAGAGGAAAAAAATAAAATGATATGCTATAAAGGAACCATATCCAAAGTATGAATAAATCTGATGAGCAAAACGTAAAACAAAGGCATCCAGATATAATACTATATATGATTATATTTATGAAATATAAAACCAGATAAAAGCTGATCTATTCTATAAGAAAGAACTATAGTGTTTAACTTTGGGGTCATTATAGGTAGTAACTTGGAAGGGAATTTGTCACGTTGCTGGTATATTGCATTCCTTGTTCTGGGTCCTGGATTCACAAATGTGGTGTTCATGAGAATTAGTTTGTACACGTAAGTATGTGCACTTTTTTGTTACTATGTTATTTTTAAATAAAAAGTTAAAATTGAAAGAAAAAGAAAAGAAAGAAAGCTGGATCCCACGTGGCTGACCATGATTCAAATCCCAGCTCTAATGCCTTGGAAAACACTCTGGGTGTCTGTGTATGCATGCTCCAAGTCCTGATGGCTGGAGAAATGAAGGAAGAAGGATTGTGTTGTAACCATAGCCCATCAGAGGATATGTGTACTCTTTCTATGTATATCTCTTGCATCTGTGAGTACATACCCCTCAGCAATAAAGATAAAAAAGTTTATAAAATGCCTGTTTCTTTCAGCTTAATTTTTCCCCCTCTCCCACAAAAAAAAAAAAAAAAGAAAGAAAGAAAAAAAAATAGTGGGTTTCAGTAGAGAGAATCAACCAGTCTGAGCTAGAGGATTACATTAGTATTTCCTTTTCTTATTATTATTCAATTTGACCAGAGAGCAAGAGAGAGAGAGCAAGCCACCAGATCTGGGGCTCAGACCATGGTCAATCATGTGGGAGTCCAGCATGCCATCCACCAAGCCACCTGTTAGGTTCCAATATTAGTCTTTATCTTCAAATTGACTTTGGTTATGACACCAGTTGCGCAAGAGAATGTCATGCTATTTTAAAATGTACTTTTTCAATACTACATTTGTACTTTGTTTCCATATTTATAATTTTTGATATCTAATAATTTGTATCTTGATAAACTTCACTATAGAATGAGATCTTAATCTAATTCTTCATGGCTAATTAATTTTATTAATATCTAGGAAATCTCATTTTCAAAGCTACTGATGACTGTGTGACTAATGTGTTCTAGATAATTATTTTAGATGATATACTTTTGGTTATGTAACAAATATTTTATCATTTTAGGCCTCATTTAGGGAAGCATTGCACATGTTGACCTCTTTTTACCTGAGCTCTTTAAATCATAGCATGGTGAATCAATTATAGAACAGGATGTACCCACAATACTTCTCTTCTCCAGATGGTTGTGTTTCTTGATTTGGTGCATCTTGATAACAGACAACAGAGCTGAAATTTGGTTTGATTGCCTTTCCATATTGTATCTTTTTGCATAATTTTGCTTCTTCCTCTTTTCTAGTACATGAATAAACCTCTGTAACAATGAAAGGCAGAGGGACATGGGAGTTGTTGTATTCATGAAAAATCTCCCTTCCTGAATAATTTGCTAATAAACCTCTGATGTCCAATTCAGATGGTGCTTTATGAGTCTATAAATATGTACCACACTTTTTAAAACGTGGTTGTGTAAAAACATAACATTAGTGGGGGCTAGGTCTGTAGTGCAGTGGTTAACTGCTGTGCACAGAAAGCTGGATCCCAAAACAAGAAGATCCTGGCTTTTGACAGAAAGTAGATGTATATGGAAGATTTACTACTTAGTGAAACAAACTAGGCTATGAAGGAGAGACATTGTATGTCTCCACTTAATATATACCAAGTGTCTACACTCTATGGCTGAAACTGAATGACTAAAGGATATAGAAACATAGTAAATGGTTATAAATACCAGATACAATGTATGAAGAGGGTGGGTGAAGGAGTGGAGTATGAGGAAGGACATTATGGGACCAAGAAATGGGTTATTATCTATTGAAGATAATTTGATAGTATTGTTAACTGGACAGGTGATAAAGATACACATGTTGGAATATTCACTTTGCAATCTAAGTAACATGTGATTGAATGTATGAAAGAAATTGAAATTAAAACTTAGAGGAAAAAAATAAAATGATATGCTATAAAGGAACCATATCCAAAGTATGAATAAATCTGATGAGCAAAACGTAAAACAAAGGCATCCAGATATAATACTATATATGATTATATTTATGAAATATAAAACCAGATAAAAGCTGATCTATTCTATAAGAAAGAACTATAGTGTTTAACTTTGGGGTCATTATAGGTAGTAACTTGGAAGGGAATTTGTCACGTTGCTGGTATATTGCATTCCTTGTTCTGGGTCCTGGATTCACAAATGTGGTGTTCATGAGAATTAGTTTGTACACGTAAGTATGTGCACTTTTTTGTTACTATGTTATTTTTAAATAAAAAGTTAAAATTGAAAGAAAAAGAAAAGAAAGAAAGCTGGATCCCACGTGGCTGACCATGATTCAAATCCCAGCTCTAATGCCTTGGAAAACACTCTGGGTGTCTGTGTATGCATGCTCCAAGTCCTGATGGCTGGAGAAATGAAGGAAGAAGGATTGTGTTGTAACCATAGCCCATCAGAGGATATGTGTACTCTTTCTATGTATATCTCTTGCATCTGTGAGTACATACCCCTCAGCAATAAAGATAAAAAAGTTTATAAAATGCCTGTTTCTTTCAGCTTAATTTTTCCCCCTCTCCCACAAAAAAAAAAAAAAAAGAAAGAAAGAAAAAAAAATAGTGGGTTTCAGTAGAGAGAATCAACCAGTCTGAGCTAGAGGATTACATTAGTATTTCCTTTTCAGCCACGTTTTTTTTTGGGGGGGGTGGGGGAGAGGTTTTTGCTATAGGGCAGGTGCGCTCGCCAGACAGACAGAGATAGAGAGATAGAAAGCGAGAAATCACCCCCCAGGGGAGATGGTCACGCCGCAGTCCCTTCTCCTCCATTCTCCTCTCGGGATTTTGGGCACACATGCACACGTGCCCGATGTGAGTTTTGAGCCACTGGGTCCGGGACGTGAACCACGGTTGACTACATGGGAGTCCAGCAACATAGTCATTATGCTAACTGCTGGTCCCCAAGCCACATTTTTATAGAGCCCATAGGGCCCTATAGCCCTTCTTCATTCCTACCTCAAAGTATCGTGTTGATTGACATTTCATAAGAGATACCAGCTCCCTTAGTCTTGGTGAGAACCAACTGAAATGATCTCTTAGCACCTTACATGTAGGGGCTAGAGACTTTTGTGTTCAAGGTCAAAATTCTTGGATTTATTTTTCTAGCTGGTGGGGTAAAAACAAAAACATACTGAGATACACCCTCAAGAAAGATGATGACAGCAGTCATGGCTGTCGTAATTATAGTTCATGTATTACCTTTAGCTTGAAGTCATATTGTGCCATTTACATGAGTGTAACAGAAATGTAGGCAGAGTTGACAGTGCATGTGGGGTTACCCGCCAGGATGTTGTTGAGTTTGGCAAACATTTTTAAAATTATTTATTTAATTTAATTTGTTGTTATTTTTTAATTTGACCAGAGAGAGAGAGAAAGGGAAAGTGAGAAAGCAAGCCTCCAGGTCCAAGACTCAAACTGTGGTCAGTCATGTAGGAATCCAGCACCTTTAACCACCACATCACCTGCCAGCGCTGGCAAACATTTTTGTGTCAATGTATGACCTTTAACAGTCTTTGCTGTCAGTAGTTAACTTTAAATGGGCACCGTAAAGTTTTTCTTTTTAAAATCAATACCTATTTAAAAAAAAAAAAAGTAGAACCAATACTGCTATCTATAATCTTTCTTCCTACACCCTTTCTCCTCGTCCCTCAAAATATCATTGCATTAGTAGCAGGTGTCAGGATCTGCAGAGAAATGAGTTTCCCTTAGATATCAGTCTTTTCTGTCTTTCCTCCTGTCATAAGTACAGTCAATGTAAGAGTGAGAAAGTGGGGCTGAAATAAATTGAGCAGAATACTGTAATGTAAAAAATCAAAACGGCAATATATAACCAAAAACTTCTGAGCAACTGGCATTAAATAAAGGTAGTCCAACTGTTCGTATGATAAATTAAAAAATCATCACTGTAACCAAAGGTGTCATACAATTAGTGTTGCTGAGCTTATCATTTTTATCTCACCTTTAGTCAGGTGCTAATTACTAATCATCATTCTTTTTAAACTTGCCATTTTGTTGGAAACATTTCCTTTGTTCGTTGTGAAGAAAAAGCATACCTGTGTTGTATTCTTGTATATGCTCTCAGGTTTTAAAGAGCATGCATTGTATGTATGTTATATTTAATTTTTAGTTTTATGTGCTCCCTGTTAACATTATATGTTGCTCAGTGATTGGATCCATCTTAAAATGATACAGAAATCACCCATAACAACATTTGAAACATTTAAACCATTGAATTTGCAGCCCACTCTAAGCTCTTATCTAATTGGCTGCTTTGTCTTTTATGTCATAATCACACCTCACAAGAGTAAGCAGGATTTAGAGTTAGAGTAGTGAGACGGGGGCTTTTTTTCAATCTAAAGCTTTTCTCTCTCTAATAAAACATCTAAAATCCTAAGACATCTTTAAGAATTTCTTACAAAACCATGCTGGAAGACAGTGGATCTTGTTTTCATCCAGATGACTTTTTCTTCTTTCTTACTTTAAATTGATTGACAACAGATGTGGAAGCTACATCTTTGCGTTGGGTTAGTTCACCCGAAGTCACTAGAAGAGAGAGATGACTCTCCTCAAGACTGACACTTGGAGAAACCACACTGCATCTTCCTGGCTTATGAAATTCAGTTTTCTTTGTCTGCTTAGTCAGAACTGCTGTAGAGCGAGTGCTGTTTGGACTGCTTACATGAACATATCATTTCATGTTGGGAATCGCATGTTGTCAGAGTTGGGAGAGACGGGAGTCTTTGGACGAGGCTCCGCTTTGAAGAGAGTGACAGGAGTGCTAGTGCCACCCGAGGGCAAAAGCCAAAATGCATGCGGTCTTCATACCAGCTTCAGCAGATCAAAGAACTCAGGGTCATGGCTCGCGCTTATTGAACGGGGAGGTTGTACCTTCACACAGAAAATTAAGGTGGCAGCCGAGAGGGGAGCCAGTGGCGTGATCATCTATAACTTCCCAGGCACTGGCAACCAGGTTTTCCCCATGTCTCATCAGGCGTTCGAAGACATGGTCGTGGTGATGATCGGTAACTTAAAAGGAATGGAAATCTTGCATTTAATTCAGAAGGGAGTTCATGTTACTGTGATGATCGAAGTGGGGAGGAAACACATCATCTGGATGAATCACTATTTTGTCTCTTTTGTGATCGTCACAACTGCCACTTTAGCATATTTCGTCTTTTATCACATTCGAAGAATTTGGTTAACAAGGATTCAGAGCAGAAGATGGCAACGACTAACCACAGATCTCAAGAAAGCATTTAGCCAGCTCGAGCTTCGGGTATTAAAAGAGGGGGATGAGGAGATAAATCCCAACGGAGATAGCTGTGTAGTTTGCTTTGAACTCTATAAGCCTAATGATACAGTTCGTATTCTGACTTGTAAGCACTTTTTCCACAAGAATTGCATTGACCCTTGGATTCTAGCCCATGGGACATGCCCCATGTGCAAATGTGACATTCTGAAAGCTTTGGGCATTCAAGTGGATGTAGAAGACGGAACAGATTTTTTGCAAGTTCTCATGTCGAATGAATTGTCTGAAACCCTCCCACAGAGGGAAGAGGAGACAAATAATGAACTTCCTCCTCCAAGAATGTCAGATAAAGTGACCCATGTGGAGGAGCACCCTACTTCCCAGAATAATGACAGCCCGCCTAATTCAGTAGTTGAAGAGGTTCATCCTTCACTTTGACAGCATGACCTTTGAGGAAGTGGATTAAACCTGTTTGTCAAATCAGGCCCTAGTACTGACAAGCAGTTTGTCTGTCTAAAGCGTGTTTTTTTGTGTCCTTTTTTTGTAACTTCAGTAATTTTCCACATTCTTTGCCAAGCCTTAAAGAAAAAAGAGAAAAGGCCTAATAGGATTTTTTTTTTTTTTTTGGTTAACTTTTGCCTTTTACTCAATGTAATTTTCTGTCAATGCATGTTACTTCTGTGAGTGTACATATATTTCTATGTACGCATGCATCTTAAAAGCAAGGAGAAACTTTTCCCCCTGGATATTTCTGTACATATACTGGCCTTTATTTTGGTAAGAAAAGTGTTAATATAATTGTATATTCATACTAGTATAGAAATCATAAACTAAGTTTGAATAACATTTTTTTGTGTGTGTTAGGAAGAGTAAAAATTATCTTTTAGTAATGTATATATAGCACAATATAATCAATTTGAAGTCATTGTTTTGTGTTTTTTTTTCATGGTTGGCATGAAAATTTTGTTGTACAGAGTTTTATCACTCCAATTTTTGATAAACAGTTCTGCTCAAGCAATGGGTACATTTTATATTATTTGCATCTGTGTACTGAGAATAATTTTTAAAATAAAATACTAGCACTCTTAAATGAACAGCAAATATTTCAGTGCCCAATATTGTTTATTTTAATTGTTACATGTTCAAAACATAAAGATTTCAGTGATAGAGAAATTTTATAGTCTTTACTCATGGCATAATTACTTCCCATGTGTTCCACCCCCGCCCCATTTGTTTTTTTAACCATTAAATAAAATGTTTAAAATATGCTGTATTATTTTGGAGACAAGCAACACAGTGTAGAAATTGTTATTATGACATCTTGAGATAATGTTTGTTTTCTCACTCTGTTTCCAAGGTCTAGCACAGTGCCGGGCACTCAAGTGTTTTTGAGTGAATGAGCGAGTAACTGAATGGATAACCATAAATACTTTTTCTTTTTTTTCAGAATGCAGCTATTATGTGAAAATCAGGCATTTTTATCCCAATCATACAAAATAATGGAAAATTAATCTGCAAAGTTTCATATTAAATCACACTGATAAAATATTCAATTATAATTTTAACCCAGAATTCATTATTATAGTTTAGCATACATAATTTTAATAAGGAGCTTTGAACTCTCTAAGACTAACACTGGGATTTGAATTACTAGGTAACCCTAGAGAGAGAGCTTGTGAAGAGGCATGTAGTGAGTAGTTCAGTGTTAGCATTCAGACTCAGGCAGAAGGGTGGCTGCAACTGAAACTCAAGGAAGACTAGAGAAGCAGAGACACTCATCTAAGGCCACAGCAAAACTGGGCAGATGACCAGGTGGTTCAAGGTCTTGTTTAGTATACACACAGGCTTCTCTTTGTACCGAACTCTGGAGAAGTTGACTTTTAATCACAACAGCTGTTCTTCGAAGGAACTGTGCAGAATTTAGCAGTGTCGTTTCAAGTTCATCCTGGGAGACTATGGAAAGTCATTCCCCAAGTACAGAGGACCATGTTGAAGAGACAGGACTCCATGAGAGCCACTCCCAGGAGGATCATCTCCCAAACTAGGATAAGCTGTCATTGTAAACCAGTGGCTCTTGGTGTCTTTGCCTCCAGAGGCTAGCAGCTGATGGGAGTGTCTAGAGTCATTTCCACTGGCTGCCCGAGAAAATGACTGGAGCTATGGAAATGACAATGTTGGTATTGTTAGCAGGTCTTCAACCCAGATTCCAGATCATTACAGCTCTGTGTACTTGGCAAATTTATGTGGATACATGCTCCATGATAGATTGGCACTTACTTGTTGTTTTCTCTTGTCATTAGTAGTGCCATTGTCTATTCCCTCTGCATCCCCATTGGTTTTGCTTCATTATCTTTCCCTCTTCCTTTGCTTTGTTCATCATTGCTAACCTTAGGCCCAATTTATTTCCACATGCAAGAAATTAGCATGCACTCACTTTTATAAAATAGCTTTTATTAATAAGGGCATTCACCCAATATGCTTATCTTGATTGAGGTATTTTCAATAGACAGTCTTTAAAGAGTGGTTAGAATCTGTATTTGAGGGGAGAAAGGAAGGGTGGAGACAGTGAGCTTGGGAGCTGGCGTTGCTGAGTGCCTGCCGAGTGCCAGGCAGTGGGCTAAGCGCTTTCCATGACTGTTTTTTATATGTCAGAACAAAACAGCACTTTTAATCCTTGTCTTTAAAATGTAAACAGATCAATAAACTACTTTTACTCTAGGTTTAATAACCAGGACCTGGAAATAGCACTGCTGTGTCAAATGTTAAGTATTATTTATCGTTGTATATTGTTACCTGTTCTGTGGGCTATACCATTTTCTCTTGTACCTAATAGTACAACTATGTTTAAAGATAACATGGGTCTGGAATATGCTACTGTACCCCAAATACCAGTGTTCTAATGGATAGCCCTTGTACTTTTTATGTTTTTGCATTGCCTTGTAATAAAACTTTGATTTCCTGCCCCCCTACTCTGTAGGAGGTTACTGTTATTCATTAAAATTGTGCTTTCTGTTTTCTTAGCTACAAGGATAAATTAGGTTGAATATTTCACCAAAGTACAAAACATTCTAAAGTACTTTATATCTGATTGAATGATACTATAGGTGAAATTATTTGTCTATACAGTTTGTCGTATCACAGGACACGCTGCAATGACAATATTCTCTTGCTCTAGAGTTATTATAATGCAGTTTTCCTGTCGAGAGATGTTGCTGAGCTATTATTTGCAATAATGTGAGCCATTCAAAGGATTTAGTGAGCCTAGGATCTGGCGTTTCTGAGAGGATTTAAGCTTAGTGTACACTTAGGGTGTTTACTCCTTTTCCAGGCTCATTGGTTTTTAAAGCAACATGCAGGAATGAAGTGAGAGAGAAGATCTGAGTTTGGGGAAATATTGAAGCAAAATAAAAAGTAGGTGATTACATGTCGACAGTGTGAAGGGGTCATTTTAATGATGCTTCCATCCTTCCAGTGTACCTGTTTTATATCTTAGAAAGTTGTTTCTTCAATTTTTAAAAATTTAACTCTATTCTTTTAATGTTTATTTCTTAGTCATGAAAAATAAAGATTATAGCTTACTATAGAAATATCTTAAAATACATATCTTGTTTTCTAAAAGGTAAGAATGTTTCTCTCTCTTTTTATTTTTTATTTATTTATTTTTTTTTTTGTGGTGGTGGTGGTGGAAGGGTGATGTGCTTTGGTGAAGAAGGTGATCAGATCTTTACTCACGAACGCGAGAGCTGCTCCACCACAATCTGTCCACCAGAATCTTTCTCCCCTCTTCTTGGCTGTGCCATACCTCTCTCTGTACATACAGGGTCATCTTTGTCAGACCTCCAAAATACTGTGTTCCTTGATGATTTTAGCCAGTTACCTGAATATTTTTCATTACTGTTGATGAGCAGGATAACCCCGATTTCAGAACTTTATAACCTTCCTCCCTAACTCTGCAACACATCATGTTCTCACACATCAGATTCTGTCATCTTTGAAACTTCCTATGTTAGAGCCTCTTTCTCAGAATTCCCTCTCTGAATTTACTTGAGGTCTTCAACACTGCTTCTGACTTGTTCTAGGTTCTCACTCAAAGCAGAGTTTCTGTCAATTAACCATCTCTTCCTAGCCCATCTCTTCTTTTCCAGCTTCACCCTAGAACCACTTGTAAGCTGTGTTAATTTTGCTCTAACAAGTGACACTGAGTTCCTTGCCTTCTGGACTTTTTCTACAGTATCATTTGCCTACATTCAATTATGCTTACTACTCGCTTTTGATATTTCTAGGTCAGAACAGCCACTTATTCCTCAAATTTAATGTTTTGGCATGCATGCACACACACCCAGCATGAGCTTAAGCTGCCAGGTCCAGGACTTGAACTGTGGTGGACTATGTGAGAGTTTAGCAACACATCCATTACACCACCTGCTGGTCCCTCTTGATTTTTTGGATGACCAAGGTAGCTCGGATTTCAAACTTGTCTACATTCATAATATTCCTGTTCAGTTCATCTCCTCTGTGGCAGCACACCGTGGATATAGAGAAGATGGGTATGGGTCAGGAAGAATGAGGATTCATGGTGACCCTTGGTTTCTAGCTTGAGCCAGTAGGTTGCAATGATGCCATTTGGTAACGTAGGAAATAACAGGTGAGGTAAGTTTGAGATAGAAGAGTCCAAATTTTGAGTGTCCCAAATTTGAGGAACCCATAGGACTTCAGATGTTCACAGCTGAAAACAGAGCTCTATACTATACTAATTAAATGAGATAAATGTAAACTGTAGCTCAAAAGCTTGATATATGATAAATACTAAGCCGTGCTTTACTAGCAGACTTATCATTGATGACATTTACATTATTGGTGATTTTACTACTGTGTAAATTTTAATATTACTCTTTTGGGCTCTTTGAATTTGTAGTAGCTCTATCTACAATGCTGTTTGACATTTTTTTATGTCTGATATATTTTATTTTGAAAATGCTGGGCCTGGCTCCATGGCACAGAGATAATGTGTTCCTCATGGGAAGCTGGCTCTAACTTGGCAACTATGGTTTGAATCCCTGGCTTGGTCATCCTGAAACACAGCAGACATGAATGCCCAGGATCTGACTGCTAGAGAACGGGAAGAAGGGAATTTGGGCACCAGACCTCATGGAAGCTGCTCATCTCTCTCTCTCTCATTTTTTTTTTTTTTTTTTAGAAAATTTTGCCGTAGGGCTCATGTGCTTATCCGAGAGACAGAGACAGTGAGAGAGAAAGAGAGAAATCACCTCTTAGGTTGATGGCCACACCACAATTCCTTCACCTCCATTATCCTCCCGGGATTCTGGGCACACACACACAAATGCACCCAGCATGAATTTCAAGCCACCAGGTCCAGGACTCGAACCGTAGCCAGCCATGTAGGTGTCCAACAGTGTAACTGATAGACCATCTGCTGGTCTTTCTCTGATTTTGATCTCAGTCTCAATCTCTCTCATGCACATGCATGCACTGTATAAGAATAAAGAAAAAAATGCTTAGTAGCCTGGGACGAACTGGCAAGTATGACAGGGATGGTGGTGGTGCTGGT